TTTCAATCATTTTGAGCCAATAAAAAATTTTCACTTTTTTTAGTGATTAACTAATTGGTAATTATCCAATTAGCTGATTGTCCAATGTAAAAATTTTTCATACAAAAGTTTTACTCCTTGATAAGATAAACATTCTAGGTTAATTTGCAGCCTTCTACGACGTTCACAACTAAAGATATTTGGCAAACCAGAAAGGTGGTACAAAGGTGGTAAAAAGTGGTAAAAGTGGTGTTTCTGTTGAGATACAAAATTGGCAACAAGTCTAATTATGTTCGTAGGGGTCCTAACTACCATATTCCGTTGAGAAATCCTTGTGAACATTCAAATCCAACGGAATGCCACTTTTCCCCTTACTAAGCTGTTGAGCAATGAAACGCAAACATAATCTTAGCAAAATGAATATATTTCTTTTATCTTCAGCATTTAATCAGTAATTAAGACTCAGTGTGGAAGAAACTTTTGTATATCAACATTTTATAGAGTAGGAACGCTTGGCTTAGATAATTTTGAATCTTTCAAGAAACATTTTGTTACTTTAGCATCTGCCAGAAAATTGCAAAGGCACATTCTGGTAGGTGACTTTAATTCTTGGTTACCCTGACCATCACATAATCCAAAATGACATCAATAGATTATATGTTTGGTCAGTGAGAAATCGAATGAAGTTCCACCCACAAAAGTGCAAAGCCCTCTCTGTGTCCCTGCAAAGAAACGTGCTGGATAACTTGCCATTCAATACCTTCTTTTATAAACTTTCTGGAAGTGATATTGACTTTGTGCCCTCTCAGTCAGATCTAGGAGTTGCAATAAACTCCAGGTTTAATTGGGGTGCACAATGTAAAGCGCTTGTTTCCAAAGCTACCTCTAGACTTGGACTACTTAAGAGAACATGTCATTTCACTACTGATAAAAGGCAGAAAAGATCGTTCTATTTAGCGTTAATTAGGTCTATATTTGAACATTGTTCTGTCATATGGTCCCCTCAATCTGCAACTCATCTTCAACAGTTTGTTGCTATCCAAAAGAGGGCTATTAAATGGATCAATGGTGAACCTTACTCCAGTTATAATGACGATAAACTTGCTACAGAGCAAAAGAAACTAAATATTCTCCCTGTTAAACAGAAGTTTATTTATAACGATCTTATGACCTTCTATAAAATAGGGAATAGCATAATTCCAGTTTCGCTCCCTACATATATAGTCCTATGCCGTCCAGAGGGCACCCGATACACTAGACACAATGCTCAAATAATTGATAGGTCGGATACTTCAACTTACATGAGTACCACTGTGCCCTGCTCGGATGCCTTCCGAAATAGCTTTTTTCATAGATCTATGCTGAAATGGAATAGTCTACCAGTATGTATCCGGCAGTCAGAGCGGATTTCTACTTTTAAGGCCAAACTGATCAAGTACCTCTGGGCTGCCGATACAGATTAGCTCATTATGAGTCTCAGAAATTTGTTTTTGTTGGTTACAATTCTGTCCGTCCAATTTCCTATCTGCTTGTCCTTTTCTTTTTTCTTTTTCAGTTGTGATGGAATTGTAATGAACAAAATCCTTATAATTATTTAGCAAACACTAAACACAACATACATACGATACCAATTTGTACATTCGAAAAGAAAATATATCTGCTATCTAATTTAAAAAATTGTAGAATAAACCTGAAGAAGGAGAAGGAGAGAGGGGTTTGGGAGAGGCAGAGTAGGAAAACAACAGGATCCTGTGCCGCAGGATTTTAAAATTTGTTGTATGATGATTCGTTTTGTTTCGTCTCTTAGATTAATATAGGTCTGATACCCTTGTCATGGTTCTTTGCAATAACACCGTGGTTTACTCATATGATTAAGTTTAGTTAATTAACCTATTTCAATGATAATTCATTTGCATCAAAGTTGTAACTGCACCATAGTTGTCTGTCATATTTAGATTGTAGTTCTAACAAAGCTTTCTTAAGATTATTCTTGAATATACTGATAGGAGTGGAGAAGTCTATTTCACTTGTTGACTGGCTATACCCAGTCTAATTGTGCATGATCGCACTACGAACTTACCATTACAACGTCCGCCAAAATCGCAGATTTTCATATCAACCCCTTTCGCACCCTGTCCGGGTGTGTCCGAATTTTCAAAACCATCAAGAAAACAACAATTTCAAGAAAACAACAATTTTATTAAGTATCAATTAAAGCAGACAAAATGTTGTTTTTTCTACAAATGAAACCAAATATTTAAAATTAAGTAGCAATCGACCGAATTAGTTTTAAATTTAATCCATGAGAAGAATAATTTAACGAGCAATATTTGTTCATGACACTTGACAGATGTTACTCGTCTACATTTTTTCGAATTATCGCGCGGCACCGGGCTATTCCATTAACAATGGACAAGATATTCGTAAAATATTTACTGGGCCGCGCTCAGCCTGTCATTCCGCCTAATCTTAATGAACATAATAGCCTGGGGTCCCCAGGTAAACGTAACTCAATAGTTAATAATAACTATTTTAAATAATTGATTAATATCGATTTATACCAACAACCAAACATTAATTATTCTTTAATAACCTTTTATATATGTGTTAAACGATCCATGGCATATCTAAAATTCGATAATGAACTTTATATTATTAGTGCCGCGTGCTGATACATATTATGGGAATCAATCCACCCAATCGTGGCGATAACTTATCTTTGTGCTTGGCCGGTTTTAGGTTTGAGTTTGTGCTCCAAAAGTGGTAAATCGGGTGCTAGTAAAGCTCTTGCAGGCAACTGGCTCCTTTTGCCAACTGCTTTTGGTTTAAGCGCTGACTCACATTTGGAACTGGCACGGGTATAACATATAATTGTAATATCCTACAAAGTCAGCATGCTATATTATTTCGCAAAACTCGTTTAATATCTTGACAATATTTACCCCAGAAAAGCTTACCGGCTGGCCGTGGTACTAGAGGTGGTTGTTTTTCGATGGCACGTGTGTCAGCGCGCGTGACGTAACGTTCACTGCATGATCGCTCGCTCGCTCGCGTGAATTAAAATCTGGAGTCATGACAACGACATTACTTCGCAAAGTTTAAAAGCTGCGATCTTTTATTTAGCCCAAAATCAAACTTTTCGCGATAATTCAAAATCTACATTGTTTTGAATTTGGCTCCTGGGGAGCCTACTTTAGTTTTACGAGACGGACATTTTGTTGAAAACCGGACGTTTCTATCTCTTTTACTTCCGAAGTTAGGCCCCTAACAGTAAGGTTTCCTGGGACAATTTAAAGTTTATGGTTTTAGGTTTAGGCGCGGCGCACCGCTTATATGTTATCAGTTATAGCTCAATCATCTTCTATTTTCAGCGCTGTGTTGCTACACGCTGTATAGCATGTGGATCAAGCGCGGTGCCGCTCCTAAGCAGCAAAATAGTTATTTATTTTAAAATTTATTTTTGTATCTAGCAAAAATGATGTAATGTTTTTAATATAACGTAGAATTAAAGCTATTTCCGTACAGCCTAAGTATGCTCGTTAGAAAAACTATCAACAATGAACATGCTAGCTTTCTTTATTTTGTAAGTCGCGTCGGCTGACATCTTGGGTTGTTCTGGATGTAACAAGTTTATTATCGGATGTCTACTTATATTTATTATGATATCAATATCATTATTCATTGTAATGGCAATAAAATTTAAGTTTTGTTTTACTTAAATTTTGTTTTACTTACTCAGTATAATAAGGTGATCGTGAATAATTAAAGCTTGGAGGTCACCCAATTAAGCTGATCGGGTGCCTGTTAACTGCGTGGGAACTAGGTTCAGTTGTCGGTCACCCTGTAAACCACTGCAAGATGCAATTGCGGAGCTGTCCTTGACATACGTTGCATGCCACTTTTCGCGCGCGAAGCGCGCGCCGCCGAAGGCTGTCGCCGAAAGCTGTCCCTTTCCTAGTATACTAGTACAAACAAATTATTTAAAGATATTAAGACAATGAAACTTACTCCTCAATGGGTGTCCTTAGTGACTGGTTAAAACTCTTCCATAATCCATTCTTGACATACGTTGCATGCCACTTTTCGCGCGCGAAGCGCGCGCCGCCGAAGGCGGAAAAATATATATTATCTCTGATATTGGGATACGAAACATGTATCAAATCCATTCCGTTGAAGGCACTTAATTTTAATTGTTATTATTTTTGTCCACCCACCTGTCAGTCACTTTCTTCATATGCTCAATTTGTATCTCAAAACCATTACATAGTATAACCGTATCAACATACCGCGAAACTGGTGAGTGCTTTATCACGATCTATCAAAGTTAAGATTGGCCAGTTGCCAACAATGTTAGAATGTTGGTTGCGTTTCCGGGACTAACGATATAATTTTATTTCGTAAATCGTTACTTGACTGCAGAGTGCAGATCATTATCATTTTAGACTTCACAGAATTTATAGTCACTGACAGTTAGGTATTTAATACTGGAAGATGTAAAACAATAGTATGTTATTGTTAGGGACGTGTGTAGTACCTCAGAACTAGAAGTTAAGTTGAACCCCAGTATGCTGCGTTAGTAGTAATTAGATTTGTAAATATGTGGATTAAAATGGTAAATAAACCATGTAAATTTGCAAATATTCACCGTAACATAAAGTGTCATAAAGATGAATTAGGTGAGAACTTATATGATTAAGATGAATTAAGTGATCATTTATATGATTAAGATCTGATTGGAGAGATTTGCAGAGCACTGCAGCCATTGGCCAGAAAGGACATCTAGTTTTATTAGAATTATTTATAACGAAATTATTGGATTAACAGAGTTATTGAATTCATCAATTAGTGGAACGGTATTTTAACCAGTTTTAAAAACCGGGATTTGTATTAATAATCTGTTTGTTTGCAATAACCTGTTTGTAATAACTTGTTTGCAACTCTCCTGGACAACGCGTGGACCGCCTCTTCCACTGGAGCTCCTCTTCCACAGAACACCTAGACTACAAAAGATGAACACACAGATTCTCACGGCCGTCTGCCTTTAGCCTTTTCCCGAACGCCTCTCCTATGATTGGTTTTCCCTACACGGCCCGGGTGTTAGTATGCTGCGCTCTCTCCCATGTCACTAGTTTCATAAATAGGTTTGTAATCCTTTACTTTAAATGATTGACCTTAGTATTTTGTTCCTAAGACCGTATCAATATCATGCATAATTAGGTTAAGATTAAATCCACGAGTTCAAGTTCTGTATATAATATGCGGGTAAAATACTTATCCGTTGCTCTCACCAGATTTTCCTAACGTCATGCCAGATAATAGCAATTGGTTCCCGTCGCTTCTGTTGAATTCCTAATAGGCTAGGAAGTTTGTTCCTCGAGGTAGAGCTTTTATAATTATTAAACTATTAATTAGATGTTGTTCATTGCAATGTTAATTCCAATTATTGATTCACATTGTTCGTAATACTAAAGTCATTCCCGATTGGTTAGTAATTAAATTCTAATAGGTTTATACCTTCCTAGGTAATATTGTGGTGAGCCTATCCTACCTGGTTGCTTGTCCTAACCTTAGCAGCACCTACATTATTACCTCGTAAGTCATTTGAGCATTTATTGATAAGTTCTTACATATTTAGTATTCTACAGTTCATTCTAATTTAACTTTATCTTGTTTAATTTTATCCTAGTTAGTATATTATTGTCTTTAATTGATCCGTCATTTGCTAATAATTTGTCCCTTTCTAGGACATTCCCCTCCCACGGATTGCGGATTCTGCCCTCGTTGGCAGCATTGAAGGAACGTAGCCATGATATAGCAGCTACCTGTCCATCGTCCAGAGAGAGAGTCAGCCAGCCCGTTATAATACACACCAGTTCCCATTGATCACCCAGCTACCCAACTGATTTAGGGTAACGGACTTTACCATGAGATTGAACACTTATTTTATGTACTATTGGATTGGTCTTGCATTATTTTACAATTCTTATTAACTTGTTTTAATTGGTTATCTTCCAGATATAAATTCATCTAAAAGTTCGAAGTTAAAACTCTAGACATAATTTCCCCTAAAAGTTCGAAGTCCATAATTATAACATAAACAATAAATTCCTGTCATAAATCTACCATTGTACACTGAGAGTTTGGGTTTGAACTATGCCCTGAGTGAGTCTCAAGCCGGGAGGTATTCCATAATATCGGAACCTGAATATCCATACTCTAGTTAAAAGGAGCCCATTATACGTAGTTAAATTAATACCATCACAATTTAATGAAATATAATAAATAAATAATCTCTAGAAGTCATGGAAAATTGGAGCAGTAAATAGGCCGTTAAGTAAGTTGTCGTGCTAAAATCCGAGTACGCCTCTTAACAGTTATCATGTGTCATTAGCAACGACGTGTGACTAGTACTGATCCCATTTTAACCTCGTTATAGAAAATGAGATTAGAGTTAGACATTATCACATTTTTGTTCCTTCTACAGATTATTATTAAGTTATTAGTCAACTTTGTTAGATCATAATTTCCAAAAAATTTTGTTGCTTTAGTCATATACTGTGTATACTTTGAATTCTTCGACAGTTTTTTGTTTTTAATTTAGCGTTTGTGAATTATGAATTTGGAATCTACAGCTTCTAAATCTTAAAGTTTTTATAATGTACTAGTAGTAGTAGTACGTGCTAAACCACTTTACAATCGATCTTCGAGTTTTTCTAAAAGGGCCCCGACAGTTAAACCAACTCAAATATATAATATATATACTTAGATATACGATTCTAGGCGCGAGAGTTCCCCTTTGTAATGTGATCTCTGAAGGCAGACGCAATACGAGCTCGGAAGCAGGAGCTCTGCCTTTAGAGGTACGTATCGAGAATGACTCTGACCGAAATTAGCGCGATGCACTACTGGGCCGCGCACAGGGGTGTAGGAAGCGGGGGAGGGGGGTGGACGGGCAGGATGGAGCCATCGCCCCCCTTCCCCCATAAAATCTGGGTAAGGGGCCAAAAAGGGCCAACTTTTCAACTTCAAACTTAGGTTTCTAGGTTTCCAAGTTTTTGTGGAAAATACTTTTGTTCATGTTTCATGCTACCCTGATCATTATAAGCCGAAAATATTTTTTTTGTTTTCTGAAGTCCGTACCTACATTCGGAAGGCTGTGGATGAGATTGGTTTCATATACTTAAGATTTTGGCCAAGCTGTGAGAGAGAGAGAGAGAGAGAGAGAGAGAGAGAGAGAGAGAGAGAGAGAGAGAGAGAGAGAGAGAGAGAGAGAGAGAGAGAGAGAGAGAGAGAGAGAGAGAGAGAGAGAGCAACACATCTCTTATTAGGAATAATGACTCCCACGTGACACAATGATGATTCCCACGTGCTGCATTTCTTTTTCCCATTCACACTCACAGCGACGCAATACTAAAACGTGTCACAGATATATGCCCACGTGCCACATTGAATTTATATATTCTCGTTCCTATAATGCACATGACTTGTAGTTGTGTGTAGGTGCAACCTGCTACTCTCTTTGTCACTCCGTTATTTTCTGTTTTTCTTTTCCGTAGTCCGATCTACGACACTATAGTTATACTTACATTAAGACTATTATTATAATGCCCTCAGGGACGTTATATGTGATGATATGTCATGAGGGAGAAAAGTGATAACGCTAAATTTTTCTCAGGGAGCATTATCAAAACAGGTATAGGAACAGCGAGAGACCACTTTCATTTCTCGTAATACATTTTCACTCTATCAGGCCGCGCAAACCCCTCACTACGTTCGGTGTTATCATGCGCGGCCCTCAGAGTGAGAGAGCATTATTGCGTTATAATGCCCTCAGGGACGTTATATGTCCCTGATTATATGTAATACGGAAACGTATTACGAGAAATGAAAGTGGTCTCTCGCTGTTCCTATACCTGTTTTGATAATGCTCCCTGAGAAAAATTTAGCGTTATCACTTTTCACCCTCATGGACATGACACATTATCACATATAACGTCCCTGAGGGCATTATAACTGATAATACTCTCTCACTCTATCAGGCCGCGCAAACTCCCTCACTACGTTCGGGCGTTATCGACATGCGCGGCCCTCAGAGTGCGAGAGCATTATTGCGTTATAGCTGTACCATGTTTACATTATATTACATTATAATGATTTAATGAGTCGAGCACACGTTCCGAGTTCAAGCGAGATTTTGTAACCTTATCAGCACCGAGTGTCAACTGCAGCATATCTTAACTGCAATTCAGGGCTCGATCAGTTAATTATATGCGCCGGATATCTCATATCTAATTTTTGGAAAGCGGTCCGGTTTCCAAAATTCTCTTATTATTATATATTACAATTACGGGTAAACCCCCCTCCCCCCCCCCCCCCTAAAATGTCACCCACCCCTAAAACGCCACTCTTGATTGATTGGATCCCATCTTCTTAGAAAGTATCTTACCTAATCATTTGTAACTCCTAAACATAAAAAAATATCATTCAGACCCTACCACATCCTGAAATTGAATCTAAATGATGCCATAAGGGCATTTTTTTCACTTTGTACGAATTTTTTACTTTTGAAAAAAAGCGCACAATTTTATAACTCTGGAATTCATTAATATTAACTCAGTTTTGGTCTAGGATAGTGATATTTACATATTTTAGCAACTTTGTACATATGACTGGAGATATTGAAAGTTATACATTACTCAATATTACTACCCTCCCCTAAAATGTCACCTGGCCGCCCCCTAAAATGTCATTGCATTTTATCAGATTCTGGCTTTGAGACTACAAGCACCATAAAACAGGTACCAGCCTATTAAACATCATATTTTATATTTAGCATCTAATGGTAATATTGGAAAGCTTTGGCAGCTCAAGGAATTAGTTTTATTTTATTAATCGCAATAAACATCCCCTAAAATGTCTAATTATCCCCCCTAAAATGTAATTTTAACCTGATCAAATTACTCAGGCTTTTCCTAAGATGCAATGCATACACTTCGTTAATAGTTGATGTTAATAATTAACAAGTGCCAAAACAAGAGCTATTATCGCACACCATGCGAACAAAATACAAATTTGACATTTTAGGGGAGAAAAAAAATGACATTTTAGGGGGCATATCATAGGTTTACCATAAACTAGTAAGTACCAAAAACCGTAGTTTTTGACATTCAATTTTGCTAAAAGCAGTCAAATCTAGTCTATAGAGAAGGTCAGATCGATTACTGGGTTGGCTTAGTTAACTACAGGTCACTAAAATTGCCAAGATGCAGGATGATGTTAAAAATCCCAAAAAATGCAATTAAAACATGCAATTTGCACAAGGTTGAAATCACATTGAAACCATTTCTTTTGTGCCAATTGTTAGTTTATAACTAGATAATCTAACTACAGGTGTAAATTTTGTTGACTGAGTTACTGTTTTGCCGTAAGTTCTGGGTATTCAAAAAAAGTCCCCAAAATGTCACAAAAAGTAAATTGACTATAAATTCCGCCATTTTTTTGCAACAGAGAGAGAAATTCTGGTCGACACCTCAGAAATAGGTTATATTAGTCCCAGAAGTGGTTAAAATTAATAATTGAGCAACATTCTGAGTGCTACACAACCTGTTTTAGCTGACGTTTTAGGGGTGGTGCACGTGACATTTTAGGGGGGTGATTACGGTTTTGAGGTACTTCCTTTAGTGAGTGAATGTTTTCAAGTAGCTTAATGTTTTAATAAGACAAAACAAATAGTACTAGTGACAAAAGGTACATCAGGCCTCCTGTACATTTTGTAATTATCACACATATAGAAATGACATTTTAGGGGTGCTGTTTTAAAACGAACTCCATGTCAACGTCAAAAAAATTGTACCTGATTTTATTTTCAAATTTCCAACTTTTCCTGGCAGGCTAGAAAAAGGTTTAAATATTATTCCTAGACACTTCAGAACCCTGTAAATTTAGCCCTAACTCGGCAATCTGGGCCCAAAAAACAGGTGACGTTTTAGGGGGGTTTACCCGTACCTATTAAAATTAACATTAATGGAATATTGGCTCTGTTTTTTCTCCGAAATTATAGCATTAGAAACCAGGCAGCAGCTAAACTACCTACCTTGGGTACCTTGGGTTCGTTTCGGGCTAGCACGCCCAGGCCAAGACATCTTGCGTCTCCACCACCGGTGTCTCCGTTATCATGTCTTGCTCACAGCCCATTCCAAGATTGAATTGCCATTTGCCCCTGTATATCCAGGGGTAGGAGGGGTGTCGGGGACGGTATGGAGAAAGCGATCAAGTGCTGCCTTGAATTTTGGCAAGGTTGGGATAGACTTGATGTCGTGAGGAACAACGTTATACAAAGCAGAGGCCACTGAAGGGAAAGAATGGAACCTCATGGTGTTGATGCTTTTGTATTTTGATCCGCCAAGAGGACGAAGACATGTAACTCCTCTTCTTTGAGAGTGTTGGAAAGAAATGTTTACACTGTTTGGAATCTCACCGTAGTAAATTTTCCAGACAAGGATGATCATGTACCTCTCGCGGCGGCGCTGTAGGGAGTAGAGATCAAGCTGCTTCAGGCGCTCCCAGTAGCTAAGATGCTTGTATCCTGCTATTTTCGCAGTGAATGAGCGTTGGATCGACTCAATCATGATTATGTCACACTGCAGGTGAGGCGACCAGAGAGCACAACAATACTCGGTA